GAAAGGGGCTTTTATTAACTTGAAATGTTTTGCATATGGGGCTATGAGTTTAGATGAGTTTAGAAGAACAATAGGGACTGTATTCTAAGTGGACAGCACTGAATTCAGATTCTATTCCTTGGTCTGGCCACAAGCAAAGGCCACATGTTTTTGTCAACACATAGGTGCACATTTAATCCTCCACATAGAGACATGAAGTGGGGAATATTTTATTTGTGGATGCTGATCCAGACTGTAGGTTGCATAGGGTTTTGTGTGTGTTTTGTGTACTTGCTCATTCTGAATCCGTGGGGGAGAGGGAAGAGAAGGTGTGATAGGAAACCCAACTTAGTGAAAGCTCTAAAAGATAACCTTGTAAAACATTTTATTAAAGCACAGGAGGCATTTTGGTTAGCTGAGAAAGACGTTTCTTTCATCAGCAGATGTTACTCATTGCAAGCAAACTCTGTGCTTAATTATGTGCGTTGTTTTCATGATAGAAGATAACTGCTATCTAGAAGGGGCTGATGTAGTGCTGCTGATCTCATTTCAAAGGAGCTGAAGGCATAGTTCTAGTAATAAAGTCACAAGTACATCTGACTTGCAAGCCTGCTGTTTTTTTGTGTAGGCATTCTACCTGGATTCAGTATTCACAGGGGAATTCTGTAACGGTAAAAAGGAATAAGGCCACTCATATGGTCTCTACTGGGGAAAAAAGATCTCTAGCATCTGGAATCCAGGTGTTCAATTCGCCTTTTGTCCTTCCTTCCTTGTGGATTTAGAGGAAATTTTCATTATTAGTATCTGCTGTCTTTTTTCTTCCTGAAACTGAAAACTGTGTTCTCAGGACAAGATGTGACTTTAGCCATATTAAGGGTTTGAAGAAGACAAATTGAGCCTTCAGCTAGAATAAAGTAGCTGAACTCTTAAGTACTGTTTTTCTGAAGGCTCGCTCTGGAATGATGAAGTGCTGTTACTCCGTTTTACATAATGAGACCTTACTAATTTTGTTAAGATATGTGATTAAGCAAGAAAAAACTTTCACATTAGTCATCCTAAATACCCTGTTAAAGGTTGGGGGCCTGGGGGAAGGTGCTGTTATCAACCTAGGTATCAACTGAACCTAGAAATTAAGGTCTTGTCACCGCATAGTCTTGGACGTGAAGCAGAGTTATGAGAAAAAGGAGAGGTCAGACAGCTGCTTGGGAAGGGAGCTGTGGGCTTGCTCACAGGTCCTGCTATTGGTTTGGCAAGGCTTTCCTTGAGAAAGTGACCTGAGAGCCCCTTAGGAAGAGGGATGGTGGTGAAGTGTTTGCTAACTGAACTGCTGACACTTTCTAGGTATTTCATGTATTGTGCTGGCATCAGTTTTGCTGATGCTGTTCGCAACTCTCCAGGTAATGTAGCCTTCCTCTCTGGGAAGCTTCTGTTTTACTGAGGTTCTCTATGGTGCCTAATAATGCTCATGAAATAAAAATCAGTGTAAGCCATCATGTTACGTATATGTAATGTGAATGTTGTGCTTACTCACTGGCTAGCACAATATCCTGTATTTCCATAAAGCAAAGAACACCATGCTTTCAGAATTATGATCAGGTGAACAACCAGCAACGTAACACTTTCCTAACTCCTGTTTAGCAATTTGAATATCTAGCCAGTATCTTCCCTTCCTCTCCAGTAAAAGTAGGTGCAGTTTGTATAAATGATTATTTTAATCAGTAATTCTGTTCCTGAAACTGTGCATGCACGTAGCTGGGTTTAATTGCACGCATTGAAATGAAAGGACTGCTTAATGCTTACGTTGTTGTAGAATTTTATTGCATTTTCAAAGCTATGACATCTGAGTACCAAAACACTTAAAATAGTTATTTAGAAATCAACCTGCTTACTTACAGCCTTGTATTGGTGTCCATTGCATAAAGTCAGGAGAGCAAGTAACTAAATGTTGTCTCTCTTGGTCTTTGGAGGAATTCAGTTATTTGAATGCACAAAGGAATAGGAAGATGCAATTAAGACAGTTAACTTTGTACTCAGACTCTGATTTATGGTTCACGAAGTCTGTTGTTGAATGGACTTCAACTTTCTCCTGTGCACAAACAACCAGAACTTTGATAAGAGCACAAAAGCGCATAAATTCAGTCCTCTTTTCCTTAGTCCAGCTCAATAGGCATTGAAAGTGGCAACTGAGATAAATGGTACTCAGTCTTGGATTGAAGAATGATCAGGGCAGATGGTAACTTCAGGAAAACAAGCTGCCAGATTTTAACCTGCCAGTTCAGAGCATGGGCAGGCTGCAGCTTTATAGAGGCTTAACACTGCCAAACTTGAAAGATTTTTATAGGGCTGAATAAGAAACATTCCTGACAGCTTGATAATTTCCAGTCTCTGTTCAAAAGCAGATGGATGTAAAAGCTTTTTGACTTAACAGTTGTTTAAAAATGTTGACAAAACAGTCTTTTTTTCATTGAGCAAATAAGTTTTTTTGTACGGCTTGAAGAAAACCCCCAAGTCTAAGACAGCCTTTGTGGGAAATGTCATCCAAAATCACTTGGGAAAGGGAAAAGTGATTAAAGGTTATCTTAAACATGGAAAATGTTAGGCTGCTTTGCCTATTGGTGCTGGCAGTTTTAGTTAAGTGATAGTCATAGCATAGGGAACCTGATGTGGCAAGGCCTTGTATGTCCATCTTTATTTAATGCATATTTATGTGAAAGGACAGAGATTGAAGTCTCTTAAATCAAGTCCAAGATGAAGCAAATGCCTTTGTGGGGGCCAGAAAGTAAAGTAAACAGTTTTGTGAGGGCTTTGTTTCATTGTTATTTATTATTTTGCCTTAATATTATTTTGCTTTTTGTGCAAACCCAGGTAGTGTAACCGTAAGATGACTATAACTACTGGTGTTGGAAGACATTGTCTGTAATTGTTTCTTAAAACAGCCTAAACTGTGAGGCAGTCTACAGAAATATTAGCAAACTGTACAGACACTGTCTTACCTGTTGAGCTCTGGTTTTGTGAGATGAAAAAGAATAATCAACCTATGCTCAATGAACTTGATCCAGCATCTTAAAGTTTCAGCAACTCTTCTGTAGATTCTTGAGGAAACCAGAGGAAAACTGGGATTCTTACAAAAGAAATAGCTGCCACAAAAGTGAGGGGAAATGTTGGGATTAGCTCTCTGAGATTACAGAAAAGGTTAGTCTTTTTATTGGCCTAAGGAAAAGGGTGAAAGTTTAGCTGAACAGTATTTTATCTGATTGGTTCTCTCAACCCAGCTATAAATCAAAGCTTGAATAGTGTACTAGTGAGTATGAAATACTGAGATATAAATCACGACTTGAACACTGTACCTGTGAGTATAAAACACTTGATGTTGTACAAGTCAAGGCTCAAAAACTGTCTGTATGAAAAGCTTGGAGAGATAAATGGTTGCACTTGAACACTGACTGGAATATAAACCAGGGTTATACGTCTCATTTCAACATTAGTTCTTGAACACATGTGTACATCAATTGCCAACTCAAAATGAAATACTCCACTCTCATACCTGCCTGCTGAGATGGCAAACACTTCAAAACTTATTTCCTGTATGCAGTCTCCTTACAAATGAATTTCTGGTGTGTACTGTACTTCATAGGGAAGAAAGGAATATTCTTTTGATACTAGAAGGAGCTTGTATATTTTGGCATCAAATAAAATGAACATTTCTCCCATCATTAAAAAATATATTGAACTGAAGGAAGGCAGCTACTTTTTGTCTACTTGAAAGGTGACATGTTTTCAGGTGGGGAATATGTTGACCTAAGCTTTCTTGACAATGTATTTTGAAGAAGGATTGTTTCTTGTTTGCCAGTCAGTTTACTTTGGCTAATGTTCATTTTTTTTAACTTGCCTTTCTATAGGGGGCATTGTTTGCCTACTCTGATGGAGAATACTGATCAGGGATTTTGTTTTGGGCTCCCTCTTATTCCTATAAGGGAAGTCAATTGCTTGTAAGGACCCCATATAAATTCAGCACAGCATTGTAAATTCTGGATGGAAACTGAGTAATATATGGGGTCATGGAAGAAATATAAACACCTCTTAATGACTCTGAGCCTGATTCATGGCCTCATGATCCAGGCATTGTTGAAGTTGTCAGTTTCCTTCAGGTACTGGAAGAGTCAGTAGATGAGGTATTGTAATCTGTTTTAATCCATTATTTCTTGCTTTTCTATAAATGGCCCTGGTTTGCTAAGGAAGGCTCGTGTGATCACCTAGCGATTTAGTAAAAATACTACAGAAAAGATGAAATAGCTGTACTGGCAATCTTCCTGAAAACTTCCTGTATGTTATTAAAACTATGTTTACTTCCATATTGCTGGAAGCTAAGTCATGGCGAAGTTTTATTAGTTCCTCTCAACATTTTGTTAGTAAGCCAAAGATGTTTGCCATCTTTCTGGTACAAACAAGAGTGAGATTTACTGTGGTGTGCCATCTGTGCAAGGTAGGAGGCATCAACTTGTTTTGCTATAATACCTTGACTCCAAGTTGAATTACACTCTAACTTTGTGTTGCAGAGATGCGTAACAGTCTTTGCTCTGAAGAGTTGTAGTTTGAACCAGGTAAGTAAGTCAGGGTGAGTGTTCTTTGTTTAGGTGCCTAACTTTTTTGATATAGAGAACAATTGTTACAGGACAAAAATCAGGGAAGCCTAAAGAAATTACTAAGTAGCAGTGTGAAAATCACAGTACCTCTCCATCCATACATAATTACATTTCCTACTGTGCTCTTCTCAGTCTTCTAAAAAGGATAAGTAGTTTTCTGAAAGAGAAAAGTTTAATCTTTCCTATAAGTGCAGAATGGAATTTTTTGGGTTAATTGGCTATTTCAGATGGTCTCATTGGTTAGGAGTGTACAGTTTTGTAATTGCCACACTGAGCCCTTTATAGTAGGTAACTTCATGTGCTTTTTTGTATCCTTTCCTGTTGCATGTTCTAACTTCTGGATATCCTAAACTTTTCTGTTTACATAATCTTTCTCAGATCTGGGTTGAATTTAAAGCAGGAGAAAAATGTACATGCAGATCCTTTCTTGCAGTAAGGCTGCCAAGCTTATGTCATTGGTGTAAAGTCATTCTGACATTGAAAGGTATCTGAAGAGCATGACTGCAGCACTTCTGCTACCTTTTTCCTTCCCTTTTGCTTCTGCTCATATGATTAGTACTAGGGGTATGTTAAGATTGCATAACAAGTTTCTGTGCATCCTGATCACCTGGGCTCTAAAGGCTGTTACCATCCGTCCTGAAGCAAAGAAACCATGTTTTCAGGCCAGCTGGAATGAACCTAGTATTTTTGCAACTGCGTTTACACAACATTTGTGCTGAAGTGTGGCATCACAGTTTAGGAATCATCCTAGCAAATGTAGGAGTCATCCAGGAAAGATGAGATAATTGTATATGCTGTAAGTAATGCAGAATTAAGAAAAGCCCCAAAACTCATAAATGGCAGCAGAAACAACAGTTGCTGTTGAGACGTAAAACTTCGTAGACTGAAATATCTTTAGGGACCATTCATCATATGACTTCAAATGTGTATTTTCTTGAAGTATTGAATCCACAGATTGCTTGGCTCTTCCAATGGGTTTGTAAATATGCATTAATGAAAGGATTGTGGATAGTAAGTTCTGCTCAGTTCCTACTGTGTATGTGATGTGTCCTCTGCTGTGAAAACTGAAGTGAAGGCTTTGAGAATTTGAGTGACAGTATCCAAATGTTGCCCTGGAACAAGGTGAAAGCTCTGGACTTCGTTTTTCACAACAGGAGAAAGCATCTTTCAAAGACTAAATGAGCTCAGAGGCAATTAATGACCAAAATGGAAGTTTAGATCAAGTGGAGTTCTAAGGAAAGAACTCGTGTGATGACTGAGTAAAGGAGAGGAGTCTCTTCAAGGTTTAAGAGATCAGTGTGTACATTTGTGGCAACTATCACCCTGGAGATCCTAGACTCTTATTATGGACATCACAGAGCAGCAAACAATAGATTTCTTTTTAAGAGGAGGAAAAAGGGCTCAGTTTCAAGTGGTTGCTCTTATTTGAAAAAGGTAGCTTGGAGAAGTGCTTGTACTGTACCTTTCCCAGAGAGGTATCATTTAGAAGCAGTACTGTGTCACAGATCTCAGGAAAACAGGCTTGGAGGTAAGAAGCAAAGAACACTGGTTATTCTTAAATTGCTCAGAGTTGGAATTTTTCCAGTGCTTTTTAAAGTTCAATCCTCACCTAGAATTTCTACCTGAAAAAGGCTGACCTCCAGCTGGCAGCCTTATGCCTGGTAATCTTTTTTTCCTTGTCTGGGTTTATATTTTCCTGGTCAGTATTTTACCAGAGAATTAGCTAGTGCTCATGAACACAAATTACAGCTGGCTCAAAATATAAATGCAGGGTGGGTGTTCTTTCCTGTTTGAATTTCTGAACAGATCTCTTCTCTGCTCCCCCCAGGCTTTTACAGCATCTAAATTTGAGTTAGCTTACTAAGAATCTGTGCTAATGTCATCTTGTATCATGGACTCGAGTGTATTTATGCTGTATTGGTTAATTCAGATTAACTCAACTATTCTGGCTATTGGTATTCACAACTAGGAAAATCACATTTAGCTGGCACATTGCAGTTCTATTAGTGCAACTACTGAAGCATGAAATAAGTCCCCCAGCCCCAGTTAAGATTGAAACAGCAAGAAAGACTGCAGAATCAGTTTGTTTTCACTACAGCTTTACCAAATATGCAAAGGCATCACTGGTTTTACCAACCTTATCCCTCCTCTTATGTGGTTATTAAACTGAGTTAGGTAACTATGCAGCACCATTGATAAAGCTGTCTGAATGCTTCGGGGAAGTAAGGTAGAATTGTAACTGCATTTTACTTATACATCATCCTAACAGTTGAAGAATAATGAACTTCATGGAGAATCTAGTTTCTAAATCTGAAGCACATTTTACGTGGAGTCCTTAAATGCCCATCATCTGACTACCAATGCACAGATCAGGTGCACTGTAAGAGCTTACAAGTCCATTAAGATTGAGTATTTTTTAGGTAAATGAATATTTTAACACACTGTTCATTATCACTTTTGATCAGAAAATGGGTGAGCTGAATCTCCCATTATTGTGAAAATATTCGATATACTCAGTAAGAGGAAACGAGTACCTTCTATTGCTTTTGCTGGTTTAAATGTGTCGAGGGGCTCTAGGTCTAGTGGGTGTATCTACCTTATGTGGTACAACATTTTCAGGGTGCCTGGAAGTTCCTGGATGTTGCATAGCTGCATACTATTCTACAACTGCATTACTACTGTATCTTTTCTAACATGCAGTTGGAGCTGGGTGGGGTATCTTTGCAGTAGTACTGAGAAATACCTCATACTGAACTACTAACCTGTGATGAGGGCCAACACCTGAAGCTCATTCCATCTTTCCATGTGACAGCCCCTGTGAAGCATAATACAGTGTATTTAGCCTGGCTTCTTCTCATAGGAGGGTATGAAAGAGTTATTCTTGAGCTTTGTGCTGTAGCAGGTCACTTCAGGAACATTGAGTGCCTGGTCCTGACCTCAGAGAGAGAAGCTTGTACCTTTGCTACACAGTGGAGCTGCTGTTCTCTTTTTTTTTTTCCTTAAATGTGGCTTGCTTCCATGGGAAGCCTCATACAACTCTTCTAGTTAGTGAGCAGTAACCTGAACAAAGCTTAATTAACTGTTCTGTACAGGCATAGGGTCTTTTAGGTAAGAAACCCTTTTAGGATTGGGATCTAGTTTTCAGATTGAATGGTATGAGTTGAATATTCTACTGCTTTTATTCTTCAGCCTATTAACTCTGCGGAAAGTGCATGCTTTGTTAAATTAAGAGCAATTTAGCTTTACTCTTGCCTTTTTTCTCAGCTAGAAAAAGACTGATTATCTGAACTTGGCAAATGAAATTCACATATACTTCAGGACAAGTTTTGCATGTGTCTGTATGCCTGTGTCTTCATGTAAAGATAGGTGTGCATGCTACTGAAGACAAAATGTTTTCTCTGGGACTTGTCCTTTACAGTTTATGAAGTCAACCTTTGTGTGAGTGTGCAAAGAGCTACAGGAGCTATTTTGTTACATGGAAAAGTAAGTTTCTTTTTACAGTAATGGACAATGGAAACCAGCAAATTCCAAGGGTCAAATAATATGCAGTACAATGCAAATGGCGTATAATTTCAACCAAAAATGAGTTGCCTGTAGGGAGTGCTCAGGCAAATAGAAACTGGCCATGTGAGATGAACATTGTGATGCTTCTGTTAATGCAGACTGACCTTGCAAGGAGGAGAATGAAGCTGTATGCATTCCATTTAAATATTTTTGTTCAAAATTCCAAGTAAGCTAGTTTGCATCTGCATGGAAATCATTCTCTCTTTTGTTTCTGTGCAACAGCTTTGCTCAAAGAGGGGGAAAGTGCTTTAAAACCAGTGGGAAGCTACCACCCTAGGTTTCTTGTGCAGGTGTGCCTTTTTGCCTTTGGGTACTGCTCTGAGCATGGCTGTAGGGAGGGGCTGCTAGCATCCAGATTCTTCAGTTCTTCACAACAAGAAATACCAGGTATTTCTGCAAGGGTGGGCAGGCAGGCACGGGGTTCAACCCAGTTGTCTGTACCCAGCTGTACTTAGAGGTAATAAGAACATGGGATAGGCAACTTGAGAATCTCATGGCTAAGTTAAACAACTCTAGGGAGTGGGCTGAAAAGCTTTAGAGAGTAAAATCAGGAGAGGGTGGAAGCAGGGAAACTAGTGGCTCTGGAGCAACATAGTGTTGGTGCTCAGGGGCAGTTAAGGAGCATGAAGACAGCAAAACTGGGGAACTCCTTCTCCCCTGACAAGATCTGTGAGGTGAACAGACATGCAAATCTGCCCTATGTAGTTTCCCAAGCAGTGGGACTGCTGTTCCTCTCCTTCCTACTGACATTTTTTTATTCAGGCTTTATTTATGTATCAGAGTATGTATTTTTTTCCTGTGCTGTGACACTATGGTACTCTAAAGCCTCTCTAAATTGTCAGTTTTTATGAAAGGGGGAAAGACGTAAGTGCTCTACAGAACTTAAGTAGACTGGGATGCTTCTGGAACTATCACATCTCTGAGCAGATGTGTTCTCTATGTGTCTTTTCTTACAGTTTATGCCTAGATATGAAACAAGGCAGGCTGATCATACATGCCTTGTTTTGCTAGCTGTTACACTGTGTCAGTACAAGGTGAGATAGAAACAAATAGGAGCCTCATGACTGATTTTTCTTGCTCTTTTCTTTGTTAGGATTTAATTTAAAACAATGCATTGAAGGCTTCCCCCCCCCCCCCCTTTTTAATTCGTTACCTTGATGTATTGCAGTCAGCAACACATGGAATAAAGTAAATTGAGAGAAAATGAGAAGACCAAATTGACTTCTGATATAGGACTATATCCAGCTTGCATTTAACTATTCCTCTGATAATAAAACAGCCACTATTGTTTTTCTTTTAATGTTTTGGAGTAGAGTTGGCTTTATCAAGATGTTTCAGGCAAAATCCAGTCTCCACTACTCCATTTACCTTGGAGAGTTGACTAATCACTGGGGCATGTGAGCTACCGTATGGCAAAAGGAAAGCTATAAGCTGATTACTGAGAGTGCAGAAAATTAATTCAAGTTCTGAGAAGAGAGATAAGGGTTTCCTGAAGATATGCTGAGATGTGATGTTCTTTCTTGGCCTTATCAAATTGTTGCTGAAGCTGCCCCTTCTGTACTGAACTATGATGTAATCCTGTTCTGCTGTGATAGATCTGAGCCATTGATTGGGTTGTTTTTCCTGTAACATATAGCTGTTACTGCCACTGAAAATTCAGCTGGTTACAGGTTGATAGGCCTTTAACAGAGCTTCTTTATTACCCCTAGCAAAAGATGTCTTGGCTTTAATAGCATCCATACAAAAGCTGTGTAAGTTAATGGTTTAGCTGTGGAAGTTGCAGTGCGATGAGGTCTTGGGCAAGTGCTGTTTTTTGCTGGTCTAGAAGTTTCAGCTAAGACAATATAAGTGTTCTGAGAAGGTGTGGTGGTTGCTCAATATTTGCAGTCAAAATGGCCGAGAGAGAGGAAAGAAGGGAAGTGATGCACTCAAGCACAGATAAGTTTTGTCAACAGGAGGAGGTCATTAGTGAAATACCATTTAGACGGAAAAAGACCTTTATTGAGTGCAGCCATTAACCTAACACTGCCAAATCCACTACTACTTATCTGAATTCACTTATATCTCTGGGATAATAAGTGATCTAGCCTATTCCATGAAACCACTGAGTCTCAAATTGCAACAAGCTGAGAGAGTGTGTAAGGAATTACATACTATCCCAGTCACTATGTAAGTGTCTGTTGTTGGCTGATGTTGGAACGAAGATACTTGCATGGACCTTTGGTCTGACCTTAGGCAACATAACTTTGTCTGTTAAACTTGATATTTATTTATGCAAGCTATAGCCAGGTTTCTATTTACTTTTAAATCTGGGGCATGGAGTCATAGAAACAGGTTGTCAGACATCTTGGCAGATTAGTATTTTAGGACTGCATCCATGTACTTTGTCTATGTGCTTAAAAAAATCAAATACAACTAAACCATAGTTTTAGATCTATCACAAGCACAACTTGAATTTTACTCTACCCTAGTATCCACGTCAAAGCTGATGTACCATGATGGGAATTTTAGTCCCCTCTCAAAAGCTGCCCTCACAAAGTAATTTTTCCACTCAGTAATATTTATTTTCAAGTACTTGAGGGTAATAAGCACTGTAGAGGAAAGGGAATTGTTCAGGATGACCAAATAGAATACTGCCAGCGGGATTCTTTCACTAAGTCATGCAGCCTTAACTCAGTGGTGGAAAGTCAGCGAAGGTGCTGCATATTTCTGAGTGGGAATGGTGGATAGAACTAGTTCTGC